GTTATTGCGTGTTAGGATGGGTTTTAATTTGGCAATCTGTCTGAGCTGAAAAAAGCTAGTTTTAGCAACATTTGAGATCTGTTTCTCAAAGTTTAAAAGAGAGTTCATAAAAACACCAAGGTTCTTTGCAGAATAACCATAAATAGTTGTAAAAAATTAATCTTTCCCTTCAAAACTGTTGTAACTGTTGTTGCAAATATGTGATAATGTGACGTTGCTTTTGAAATTCCAGGTGATGTGATGTCCATGTTTTCTTTTTCATCTTTGTTTGAATCCAGTGGTATGAAAACTCTTCTGGCTGTGGACGAGTGTTTTGAACATTTCTTGTGAATGATTCCTGGAAGCCTTGAGCGGCCAACACCTGCTAACCCCCATCCCGCCGTGCTCCTTCTCCCTCCACCGTCCCCCTCCTCACCCTCCGTCCCCCTCCTCACCCTCCGTCCCCCTCCTCACCTGCGCCTGTGTCCTTGAGCAGTAATTGGACGAGAGCAGAGTGGGATCAAACATTCGGAACATTCCCTGTGTCTGTGGGAGCGGGGCTGGCTTTAATAATGCGCTCAGTGCTTTTGTAAGGCTTTTGCCACCACTTACACACTGCACCTGCAGCACAACTGTTCCCACAGCTTATGCTTCCTTCACACTTTCTGGAATTGTGCTGATGAATTAGGAGAGCATTAAAGGAGACCATTAAAGGTTTCACTGGGCTAAATTGACAGTTTTAACAATTTTAACCTTGTCCTAAAGTCACAGTAGCACTTTCTTTCTTTCACACATGCTCTGAGGCTCTTTTCAGCTCCACTTTGGTATGTAAACAGATCTGTGCTTTCCAAGCTTAGTAACATTACTGCATTTATACTTCTAAAGTCAAGGTTATGTTCTGTCAAACCAGTCACTGTGGAGCTGAGTTCAGAGGAGAAGGACCAGATTACAGACAGAGCAACACAGAGGACAGACACACATTTCTACACGTCTTTGTATGTATCTAGAATCTAGAACAGGGGTCTCAAACTCAAATTACCTTGGGGCCACATTAGATAAAGTCTGAGTGAGGCTGGGCTGCATTGAGTATTCGATAAATAGCGGATGCATGAAAAAAGAGAGAGAGAGAGAGAGAACAACATGCAACACACTTTCTTAATCTTTAATAACAGTTCAGAACATGAAAATGTATTCAGAACGTAAGTTTAAGCTACTCTACTCTTCTCCTATAAAGGTCCCATATTTATGAACAGGGGAATTCTGTCAGCGCCTCCTCTGTGCTCTGATACTGTGGTTGTGGGAGCGTAAAGTGAAGTGCGCACACGTGTACCACCATGTGTAGTTTGTTTTGGTTCTTCATTGACGCCGTATGTGCACATGTACTTGTATTAACAGATCCACTTAGACTCGATGCTTCATAACTGCTGTAAGTTGAGTTTTGGGATGTAAACTGCGTTAATAATCTGTTGTTGTGAATCTGCATGGGCACCGATTGCAGCTTCATCTGTCAGCCGCACTGACATTATTCTTTGGAATTAAGTGGAGGGCCGCAAAAAATCCTTCCGAGGGCCGCAGTTGGCCCCTGGACCATGAGTCTGAAACCCCTGATCTAGAACATACCATATTTTTCACACATAAGGTGCACTGGATTATAAAGAACATTAAGCAAAACAAACAGAAGATACTTGAGACTGATCCTTAGCCCAGGCGTCCACCATCCATTGACAGATCGTGGTGTGATTCGCTCAGTGTAGGTGATTGTGTATGTCTCATTTGCATAAACTATAAGCTCTGAAAAAACAGCTCGCTCCTTATGCGCTGATGCGTCATCTTGTGTCTTACTAAAGGACACGACTCCGCTCCTGACTACAGCAGCCATAATTCTTTGACAAACAAGCGGTGCGGCTTTGTAGTTTACCAAAGTCATACTAAAACATATTGACAGATTTTTGAGCACCATGTATGACATAAAATCATCTTGAGGTCAGTAAGAACAACCAGAAATAATACATAAGGTGCACTGGATTATGAGGAGCTTTGTTGATTTTTCAGAAAATTAAAGGATTTTAAGTAAATGAGCCTTTAAGGTACATGTAATTTTTTGTTTTTTGTGGGTTCACTGTCTCTATGGAGATGTTATTACTTATATAATATTAAAATATTCCACAATTTCTACTGTAACTGAATAAATTCTAGATAAGTTTAATGTCATGCTTTGGAACATATGAGGCAAAGCAGTACATCTCACCTCCATGGAGACAGCAAACCCCCAACAAGAAAAGTTACACCATCGTATGTGCGTAAAAACCCTGCAGTTATGTGATTGTGAAGGGGATATTATGCAAAACTGACTTTGGAGCTTTCTACCATGTTATGATGATGTTGCCTTATAAAACCTGCCTGAAGAGGTTTCATGTTGTCCATGCATGTTTGAGTAAACCTCCGATCTCTCCCAGGCCCTGTTTGGACCCTCTTTACAGTTAGCAGTACGACTCTGATGCTCTAATCACAAGCCCGTAAGCCTACATCACCCACGCTCCCTCATGCCCATTTTTTCATACAAAACAATATACAGAGTTCCCATGGCCATGGAAATCCTGGAAAAGCCATGGATTGTTGTAAATAACAATAATAATAATAATAATAAAATAATAATATATAATAATAATAATAAATAATAATAATAATAATATAATAATAATAATATAAAATAAATAATAATAATAAATAATAATAAAGCAATGGAATTTGAGTATTTCTTTCAAGCCACAGTGTTCTGTTAAGTTCTCATGAGACTATGATGATTATTTCTGAACGTCTGCGCCTTTTGTTTAAAAGAGACGACGATAAATGCACTGACAGGATTTTGAATGTTCAAAAACTATAATCTCAAACCATAAATTGAGTGGAAAGAGTTCACATTTCATATTTAGCCCTAAAAGTCTAATCAATTCTACACACGTAGGTGCCGTAAAGTCATGGAAAATTCACTTTAGTCATGAAAAAGTTATGGAAAAGAAATGTTGTCAGTGAAAAAGAGTGGGAACATGAATATACTTCAACTTCTCAAATCTGCTGTGATGTGCAGTACTTTCATTCATTGGATGTACACTGATTTTGTTGTGAGAGCGCTCTGAAGGGGGGCTTGGTAAGGAGAAGCTCAGAGCATCAAAAACGAAACTGAAACTTAGAACACATCTGAAAATATTGTTTACAGTGAATATAGCGTTTCTGAAACAATCAAAGGTAACACTGATCTAAATATATTCAAACAAACCAAAGCGGCTCTAAACCATGAATTGCTGGTGTGTTTACCTGCTCCTTATCTCCTCTTTCCTCTCCTCTTTGCAGCACAGGGTGTTCTGCATGTTCCACTTAATGTCATTTCTAAAAGTTGCCTTCACTAGCTGCATGATACGAGCAGAGCGTGGGATATGCTAAACTGGGTTGAGTCATACAGCTCCTGACTGCTCCTCAAACCACAAAACACAATATTATACCGTTCAGTGCAGTGTGTGTGTACATGTATGTACATCTATATACAGTTATTATTTCTTTGGAACTCATCAAATGTTGTAAGTAAATGGTACATTGTGGAGGATCTGTCACCTTCTTGTCTTCATGCAGATGTTATTCAGGGTTCCCACGGTCATGGGGAGTCTGGAAAAGTCATGGAAATTGAAAATGACATTTTCCAGGCATGGAAAAGTCATGGAATTTTAGTGGCTCTTTCACGCAACTCCAGTGTTCTGTTAAGTTCTCATGAGTTTATTATGATTATTTCTGAACGTCTGTGCCTTTTGTTTAAAAGAGACGAAAATAAATGCTCTGACAGAATTTTGAATGTTCAAAAACTATAATCCCAAACCATAAGGTGAGTGGAAAGGGTTAAGATTTCATGTTTAGCCCTAAAAGTACTGTATTTTTTTGGACTATAAGACACACCGGATTTTAAGGCGCAATATCAATAATGTTGAATTCTCTCGTCTACATAAGGTGCACTGGATTATAAGGCACATTAAGCGAAACAACGGACGACCCTTGAGACTGATCCTTAGCCCAGGCGTCCACAATCCATTTGTTTAAGTTTTACAGAAACTAAACTTAAAACCACATGGCTCATTTGCATAAACTACAAGTGTCGAGAAAACAGCTCACTCCTTGTGCTCTGATGCGTCAGCTTCTGTTGGACTAAGGATCATAAATTGAGCTTTACTCCTCAAGGCTCCTGACTACAGTAGCTGTAATGCTCCGACAATCCATCAAGCGGTGGGGCTTCATAGTTTACCAGAGTCGTTGTAAAACATTTTGACAGATTTTTGAGCGCTGGGTACAACATAAAATCGATTTCGAGGTCAGTAAACACAACCAGAATTAATACATAAGGTGCACCGGATTATAAGGCACAATGGTGATATTTTTTTTTTAAATTAAAGGATTTTAAGGGTGCCTTATAGTCCAAAAAATACGGTATGCTAAATTCGACACATGTAAGTGCCATAAAGTCGTGGAAAATTCAATTTAGGTAATGAAAAAATCATGGAAAACATTTTGAAATGTTGTCAGTGAAAAAGAATGGGAACCCTGGTTATTGCTTTGTCTAGAATTTTGCATAGTAGAGATTAAACCTATCACAGATTACAGGTCAGATCTGTGGAGAGGCATCCCTATTCACAGAGAGAATGATTATATTTTTAAATATATACTTTTAAAGTCATTGTAACTGACAACAATATAAACAATGACATCACATATTTAAGAGATATTGGGGCAACTCACGTAAATATTAAACTGAGTCCTTGGCTCTAGTCACTGAAATGATCACACTGAACATTTGTGAATTAGCCTTTTAGATAGATCTCATGAGAATAGCATGGCACCAGAGGGAATACTGCTCCTCATGGGACTGTGGCGTCATCATGTTCTAGAGTCTGAAAAACCACTTGTTGAAAAAGCGCTGATGTTGCTATATATAGTGTCCAGGTGGTAGTTACATTTTTTTTTTCTCATGTTCTGTGCAGGGACTTTGTGGAGCAGAAGTTGGGCAGTCAGTACGTGAGTGGACGCTCTCTGGACTTCTCCGTGTCCTTTGAGGAGTCTGGACCGGCCACGCCCATGTTCTTCATCCTATCTCCTGGAGTGGACCCTCTGAAAGATGTGGAGAAGCACGGTGAGGTCCATAACACAAGCGTAGGGAGACCAGACGTCCCTGTTTACCCGGGACAGTCCCAGTGTCCCTTGTCCCAACAGATTTATCAAAACCAATGATTTGTCCCAGTTTTATCCACAAAATATCTCAGGTGTTCCTATTTTTTGATCAATCTGATCTCTGCCAGCAGTTAAAAGAGGTATTCATTGTCATTTGTTTAGCTAAAATACAGAAAAGCTTCTTAAAAATGACCAAAACACAAAGAAAATGTGACTATACTGACTCGCATATTAATCATGAATGGAACCAAGTGCAGAACAATTTTTCTTAATTAAGCACTCGTTTCAAAATGTAATTATTACCAACCACCAGTGTTGGGGAGTAACAGATTACATGTACCGGAGTTACGTAATCAGAGTACAAATTATGAGTGTATATCTGTATTCAGTTACAGTTACTGTTTCAGTGAGTGGTAATTGGATTACAGTTACTTTGTTGAAATAAATGGATTACACGGCGGTACTTTCCTGTTTTCACATTTTGGGCTAAACCAGGACTAAAACCAGAACTAAAACCAGAACTAAAACCAGGACTAAACCAGGAATAAACCAGGACTAAACTAGAACTAAACTAGAACTAAAACCAGGACTAAACCAGGACTAAACTAGAACTAAACTAGAACTAAAACCAGGACTAAACTAGGACTAAAACCAGAACTAAAACCAGAACTAAAACCAGGACTAAACCAGGATTAAACCAGGACTAAACTAGAACTAAAACCGGGACTAAACCAGGACTAAAACCAGAACTAAAACCAGGACTAAACCAGGACTAAACCAGGACTAAACTAGGACTAAAACCAGGTCTAAAACCAGGACTAAACCCAGAATAAACTAGAACTAAACTAATACAATATGACACTAACAGTAGGTGGACATAATTGTGATTTCATATAAAAATAATTTCTCTATCAATAATATTTTTTATGTGGTCAAGTATTAGTAATTTTCAGGATGTGGTTGTTACAATCATGTAGTTTTAAAAAGCATGACAATATATATATTTTTTAAAAAATGTATTTATTAAATGACAAATGGTAATATACAAAACAAGTGAAAAAGCATGACAATATCAAGTAATCCAAAGTATTCAGATTACATTACTCACTTTTAAGTAATTTAATGGATTACATTACAAACTACATTTTGGGGTATGTAATCTGTAATCTGTAGGGGAATACATTTTAAAAGTCACCTTCCCAACACTGCCAACCACCCAGTTTTTGATTTTGAAAATGTGATCACTGTAAACAGACAGACACTGTGCTGCACATTCAACACACACTTTTGCACACAGATCTAACCTTTTTGTGTGTGGTTTAATCATTTTACTTCCTAGTCAGACATGGGCGGTAGATATGACATAGTGTCAAATGTCAATGTCAAGACCTGGAGATTTAACACCCATAATGTAAACAAGGCCCAACAATACACAAGAGTTATGATTAGACTGATAAAATAGATGACAAGACCCTTAAATTGTTAAATGTATGTGCAGTCTGTCAGAGAAATGTCTTCTTTTTGTGGAAATAGACCGTCCCATCCATTTGAGCAGGACAGCAAAATGAAAACATTGGTGTGCAGACGGCGCAGACAAATGGCTGCTGTTTAGGCTGTATGTTTGTGATACGAGGCAATATTTAACTTCCAGCTCCACTTTCTAAAGTTCACCAGTGTTTGCAGGATTTGTGGCGCCTGATGGAATAAAACTAATATTTTACTTGAAACTGTTGTGGTTCACTCTTATGTTTTTGTTTTTGGTGGATGATTGTCTCACATAATTATAAACTTAAGAATCATTATTTTGTGGTTGTTAGCATGTTTGCTAATTTTGTCACTAATCGCTAATATTAATATCCTAATGTTTTTCTGTTTTTTTTTCTAGTGAGGCTAGCGTGTTACTCACGTGAGGTACACTTGTTGTCAAGTGATGTTAGGAGGCTAATACTAACTCCCCCACTGAAAAAGCATTGGTACGAACCATGGATCTATTCAAGTATTGTTGCTTGTGTCTGCCTTCAGTTGATATAGTGGTCACTATTTCTACAGCGAAAAAAATCCCTTGGGCCGAGACAAGATTTTTCTCATAGAGGCAATGTAATCACAAACTGCTCGTGTTCGTCTGATAGGGACCTACAACTGTCAAAAATGTTGGATTTTGTGGTGATTTTTACCTATTTTTAGATCATAAAATTTTCTCAGCTCAAAATCCTTCAGTTGTCTAAAAAATCGCTTTATAATTGTTAGCTCCAGCTCCGCTCTAGCTCCTCTCGCTCTAATTGGTCAAAGTGATCACATGATACACGAGCCCGCACTCCATGCACGCACTCTTGTGCATTCGTGTGTGCCCGCGGGAGAAAAGACACTACTGCACATGCTCAGTCGGCCCACAGCCACCGGAAGTATCTAGTCGGGCTGATGGCGAATCTGGGATCATGCGACATTGAGCTCCGCCCACTGACTTAAATGGGAGGCCATTTTGAAACCTTGGTTTGGTGCTAACGTGTGGAAGGGTTTCAGGCTTTACGGTGCGTTCAGGCGCCTCTAGTTGGATGCCTTTGCATTTGAGTTTATATTTATACTCTGCCTATGACACTGGTTTAGTCTGGTGTAGTCTAGGCGATTGGCTCAGCGGCGGCAGCATCAATGACACTGGTTAAGTCTTGCTTTAGACCTGATGTAGTCCTGGTTCAGTCCTGATCCAGTCCAGGCGATCGGCTCAGTGGTTGCGGCGTGTATTTATTTTTACTCCACTAATGTTTATGGCTCTTAGCCCCGGTTCCTGGCTCTTTCTCTTTCTTCTCCTTCTAATAACGTTGCTATGTCACTGGATGTCACTGGTTGTCTCTGATTGGTTGATGCGGCGCGTCCAACGCCAAAAGTTCAGCATTTTCAACTCCTGACGCTGCATGCTCAGAATACGATAAAATGTTGATGCCAGATTCTCATCACAGTGACACCTGAAGACGCACCGCAAAAACACAGGACACCCAGATGCCTGTTCACATAGACTCACTCTGGTCTCCAGACTACAAAACTGCTGCTTGTGACTGTAAAGTTTTTTAAGAGGGACTTGTTTAACACTGAGAGTATAGTCTTATTGTAGTCAGTTCTTTGTGGTCAGCTGATGTAAAACTATGAGACATACTGACCACACGTACTCGTGCACCAAACCAACTTAGAATTAGAAATACATGAAAACCTGTTATATGCACTTTATCTACACAAAGTTTCTGGACATGTTTTTGAAGGTAGACGGCATAACTTCTGGTGAGGGGTCTGCCACCTGCTTGCCTCAAAGATGATAATGCTTTGAGAAGAATGTTCTACACTCTTGTCTTAATATTGTCTCCATGGAGACAATATTAAGACAGTCCATCATGAGCTAAAACATACTCATAAATGTGTGTTGAGTTTCTAGTATCATACAATGTGAATGTGCAGAAAGAACTCTTATTGCAGTCTTTTTGGTTCTTTGTTTATTTTAGACTCACTATTTAATGCTTATATCCCCAAACCCGCTGAGATCTTCATATCTACATCATCAAAATGGCCTTCACAGTGTTATATCACATTGGCCATGAAAACAAGTAATAAATCAAACATCTTATCTGCACCGTTAGCCATGCATTCAACTAAAACTCCATTCTTAAAAAGATCCACAAGTCCACCAGATTGTGAATTAAGTCTATTTTTATCACTTGTTGTCAGTGCTTTTCCTGAGCAGACATGGCAGCTGTGGAGTGGGCCGCTGTCAGATTGGCTGGGCAGAATCAGGGCACCTGTACAGATACTGGATTGGGCATCTGTGCCAAGGTATCTGTTCAGCTGATATCCTGTTTGGACTCAAAACTCTCAGTCACATAATGTTGAACTTTTATTAATACAAAACTGTGCTGTAGTTACTTGCAGAATAAACTGCATTTACATAAAACATTTGGATCTGTTTTGTCATACAGTGCTTTAGTTTTAAGGACAGAAATATATACTGTAAGGTATTTTTGGGTAACAGCAGATACTTAAAGAGGGGAATCTGTGTATCATTCTTTCATTTGTGTCTCAATATAAAATCAAAAATAAGAAAACGAAAAAAAAAAGAAAATAACGTATTTACTTCATTATTTGTCTCCAAAACCAAAATGATAAAACAGATCACGATTTGTATTTTCAGTTTTCGATTTTGTGTTTAAATGAATAATGGAAAAAAATGGATAATGGCCATTTCCTGTTTCCGTGACTTACTTACTTACTACGAACTGAACAGGACTAAAATGGGACTGAACCAGGACTAAACCGTTTTCAGTGCTGGTCTGGTCCCAGTCTCAGTCCCAGTCTCAATCACAGCCTGGTCCTGGTCATGTTCCCAGTCTCAGTCCCGGACTCAGTCCTGTCTGGTCCTGGTCTAAGTTCTGGTCTCAGTCCCGGTCTGGTCGGACCTGGTTCAGTCCTAGTTCAGTCCTGGTTCAGTCCTGGTTCAGTCCTGGTTCAATCCGTATGCAGCACAAAAGTTCGGCATTGCAGTTTAAGTCGGGAAATGGGAAACGGCTGTTATTCGTTTTTTTCATTATTCATTTAAACACAAAATTGAAAACTGAAAGAAACAAATAGTTTTTTTGTTTTGTTTTGTTTTTTTTGCTTTGGAGACAAATAGAAAACTGATTTTTTTTTTTTTTTTTTTTTTTTTTTTTTTATGTAATATTGAACGAATGATACACAGATTTGAGGGGGTATGTTATAACATGCCTGTAGATGTTTTGTGATCTCTCCTTGGCTGTACTCAAACCCTCCTTACAGTTAGCAGTAACATTCTGTACAAGGCTCCGCCCACAAACCTATATCACCCATGCTCCCACACGACAACATGACAAACCTGATGTGATGTGCAGTAGCTCCAACAGTATAATTCACACTGATTATGTTGTGATAGTGCTCTGAAGGGGGAGTGACAAAAGGAGGTGCGTC